ATGTCAACTGGGTACCGTTTTTCCCCCTCCCCAGTTTGCAACACTTTGATTGTTCCCCCAAAACATCATGAAAGGTCTGAACTCCCTGCCCCGTCCTAAAGAGATGAGCCCACATTGCCTCTAGGCTTAGATGCAGGGCCCTGGAGACCCCCCCTCCCCCCGATCCCATTGGAGGAGCTGGGGCTTTTCCCTGGGCGCAGTATGGCCAAGCAGCACGAAGGACCAGGGAACTTGCAGCCGGATCCCAGGTCACAGAGTCTTGGCAGACAACCCCTGGACTGACTTTGGCTGCAAAGGCAGCCAGAAGAGATCGCTGCCGGCAAGAAGAGCTCGGTTATTTATATCTCATTACAAAAGGCCCCAGATCCGTGCCTTCCAGCTCGCCGCCCTCCAGCAGCCTGGTGCGCTTGCTTGCCTGCTTTGAAGCTCTGATCTTGCAAAGAGTCAGCGATGCTTTAACCCCTGATTATACCCACGATGGTCTGCATGTGCATATCCAGGGCTAGTAGAAAATGTTCAAGGTGGGAAAGCTGGGCCCTGGACCACCAAGGAGATTCACCCAAAGCATCTGCTGCCCACAAAGCACAGACCTTTCATTGGACAAAACTCCCCCAAATGCCCTGATTCCTGAGGAAGAAAACTCATGGCAGAGGTGATATCTTTTATTAGATCCACTGAGTAGTTAGGGGGAAAGTTATTTGCAAGCTTTCAGGCACAATCACCCTTCTTAGGGCATAGGTAGGGTGGCCATCATAGAGGACATCCCAGTTTTCTGCTACTCTGTCCTCTATTGATACCAAACCCGACACCTTTTTTTTTTCCTCTTGAAGAGAGGCACACAGAGAGCATAAAGGCATCCGGTTTTGTATCAAGAGAGGACAGAGGACAACCGGACTGTCCTCGGTGATGGCCACCCTAGGCATAGGGAGTCTCTCCTTAGACCAACACAGCTACAACCAAAACCCCATTAGACCAACTAGATATCTGCAAAAAACAAAAAGTTTCTCTTCCTTATATATTTTCACGGTGATAATATATTTGCCAACCACGTGCCTGAGCACGAGAGGCCTCACCTATGCATGCTGAGCCGAGTTGTCCCAGGGCAAATAAGGACAAGTACCCATAGGGCTCCCCCGAAATGGGGCTTGGGAACCTGGGCTGGGTCTAAGCTTGCAAAGAAACAAGTGGAAAGAGCAAAGAAGTCCTCTGTGTGTTTTGGAGGCCCCAATCCAGCTCCTGAGCAAGTGTCCCCCCCAATCCCCCAGTTCACTTTCAGGTCCATGGCACGGGGGCCGCACTTTCTGTTCGGATCAGACAAGAGGCGTCAGCTCCACCCTAACCAGCCCTTATCAGCTTCAAAACATGGAGAGTGGAGACCCAGCTGGGGTTATGCACACGCGCCACTCTTATCCGTGCACCTTGATAAATACGTTACAATAATATCACTGTGGATACTGTTGACTTCGGATCGGGGGTTATCAAATACTATTCAATTCAGAGCCTTGGAGAAGCCTCTCCAAACAGCAGGTCACATCTGACAATTGTCGTATTAATACCTTTCTAAGCCCAGGTCATAGCCTGTTGTGTACCCACGTCTATGATCAACCCAGACTGGCTGGACTGGGATGCTAGGAAGGAGGCATTTCTAGCCATGCTCAACCTCTCACCCTGCCTCCCACCCCTGACACTTGTTACTTTCAAGGGAAACTTCCTGATCAGCTGCTGTTTTTCAAACTCGGGGCCCAACTCTGATTCACCCCTACCTTTTGCGGGGAGAAGAACTGGGGCTTTAATCACCCCTGTGCTCCCTGCCCATTGGGCCCAGCTCTAAACATAACTGAGAGCAGCCTCAGGGCTGCTCAAGCGTTGATCCTGCTTTCCTTGCCTTGATGAAGATGCAAGACAAAAGTGCTCAGGGTTTCTCACGGGCCACGAGCAAGGTGCAATAGGATCCCGCTTTGTTAGTGCCACGATGCCCAACTGGGGAGAAAGAGCTTAGCACTGATACACAGAGGGGCCGCATGCAACAGTGAGATAGGCATGATCTCCCCAGCAAGGGCACATCCGGTGCAGGCTGCACAGGAGAGATCGGACCGGGATTTATTGCCAGTGAACTTCAGAGATCTCAATGGTCACATAGCAAACCTGTCGTCCCCCAGCACCCACCTCCCCAAAGGAGGGAGACCCCCCGGGACAGGCTCTTCTGAGGGCCAGGCCCCCCAGGGAAAAGACAGCATTTTGAAAACAAACATGTGCAACGGCACAGGGTAACCGCAGCACCGCCTGCCATGTGGCTGCCTGGCACAGGAAGCCCAGCCTATCTGCACATCCTACACGCTTACATTGCAGCTAGTAGCTCATGGAGAGCAGGCTTCTGCCACCCACGGGGCACAAGCCGAACCAGACAGCGGGTATGCAAAGCCACCACCAGGCCGCCACGATCCCAGCGGGCAGAGGCAGAGTCCTACAGGGGCACTGGGAGCCTGCCAGGGATTGCAGGGCAACAGCCACCAGCGTTTGACACCAGTGGTTCTGCTGTCGGGGAAGGGGAGCGACTCTGCCCTGGCCTGGTAGAGCTGTTCCCTACTAGATAATCCCGCAGCAGTGCCCAAAGTTCAGCCCGGCAGGGGACAGGCAACGCCAAAGCCCTGCTTTCCATTACCACGCTCCTGAGATCCAGGGTCCAACCACCCTGCCCGATACGCCCCAGCTGCCCCCACTCCCCAAGCAGGCCTTTGGGCGCTGCATTTCATCCCCCTACGATCTGCACAGCCTGCATCTGGACTTGAGTTTTGTTGCTGGCTCTGATCCCAGCAACAAGTCACAACTGACTCGGGGGTGATCCGATATGGTCTCAGAGTCTGCAGCACATAGTCAAATTGGTCACCTCTAGTTCCAGGCTTTCATCCCCACCTCACTAATTGGAGCCGTTTCTGGACAGAGACCACAGCAAAGGAGCAGCAATACAGAGTCCTACAAGTCTGGACCTCACGTGGCCTCGTTCAAAAGGAGCTCAGCAAGCCCTAGAGAATTTAAAGGATTTTATAGAAATGATGTGCAAACCTCTTCTAGCAGCTGAAGGGGCTGGTTTGTTGGGTTTCTATTTTTTTTTTAAAAAAAACACCTTATTTAAGTTCCATGATGCAGGCATGATTTTCTACTTCCTTGAGGAGAATGAATATATCCCAATTGTTAAATTCAGAGGGTTTTATTCATGGTGGAGGAGGTGCACATTTGAATATCCGTCCCACTGGGTTTTGCATTCCTTGTATTTTGCACACCCTGCCTCTCCTCCACCCCTTGCCTCCCTGCATTTAAAAGGCCATAAAGCCAGAAAAAGCCTTGTGATGCTCAAGATAAAGAAGTCTCTGTGCTCCCTGACCCACCCGTCACCTTACCCTGATGGCTGGAGAATGAGTCCCCCAAAAAAATGTGGATCCTACTCCAATGATTAGGTACCGCAGTGGCACTTAATCCAAGCGTGAACATACCCCACCCCGTTCTAGTCCCTGCAGAACTGTTACTTGCACAATAAACCTTCAGCTTAGCCTTCAGACTGTCACAGAGACAAGCCAGGAAGAGGATCCACCCATGTTTTGCATTAGCAGGCCTTGAACAGAGTGGGATAAGCTATTTTTGGATGCATGGATGCCTAAGCGACCACAAATGCGCACGCAACTGCCGTAATTGCGCAGGTAAATGACACATACCCTCAGCCACAAATTGGTCATCACTGGTCAGCTGCACTTTTTAATTCATTCCCAAGCTGCTGTTCACCATCCCAGCAAGAGTGCATGCAAATTGGACCCAGACACTAGCAGGTATCTTCTTCTATTTGCATCTCTAAAGCCTTGAATAATAGGTGGGCCAGGGTTAAAATTAACTCAAGTCCATCCCGGAGTCCAGAAAGGACTGAGTAACCTTTTGCCAGCCAAAAGAGATCTTAGTAAGCAGCTCTAACCTCGTTAGGCTATCTAAGGGCAATATATTAATTAAATAATAGACTCAAGACCCCCTTAGAAAGTGCCAGCTTGCTTTCTGGGTGCAGAGGAATACTAGAGGGGTTCTTCTATTGCAAAGCACCCAGAAAGACCACAGCAGGGCAGAGGCTTTTAACACTACAGATTCCTATATGAAAGCACTGGGGAATCACATCTGCACACCTAGTGCTAACATTGTGTGGCACCCTTGAAAGAATCTCAAGGCACCCCAAGGTGCCACAGCCCTTGCTCACAGGTTGAGAATCGCTGCTCTGCATGGATCTATCCAGAGAGATCCACTCCTGCCCTTCCAGCCTGCATCCTAGGCACCACCCCAGCCCATCTGGTTTTTCCTCCTACCTTGACCAAACTCCACCAAGCTCCTTTCTGGCAGTGCAACAGCCTCTCTGCATCAGCTCAGCAAGGGCAGTGAAACCTAGGCACCTCTGCCCCAAACTTTAGAGGCAGTGAATGCAATCAAAGGCTTCCCTCTGACCCTTTTCCCCTGCTCTAGGAGCCAAGCTTTGCTGAAGGGGCATGCCCAAGGCAGCTCGCAGGGATATTGCAAGGGTACCAGCCCCAGCACAGGTGCAGGCAGTGCCCAAAGCAGCCTCAACCCTCATGCAATGCAGCTGGGAGGCTTTTTTTTTTTTTTTT